CAAGTCAACAGAACGAGGTCTGAGGGCGTTGGCACTTTATAAAAAATAAAAAAAAACTAAACTGTACAACGAACCCTGCCTACTGTCGCCGTTTGTTGTAGAGCAAACACCCACCCTCAGTTCCACTGCACATAGGATATAGATATTTCATACGTGTGGGAAAGACAACATGCTGATCTGAACAGATGGCTGCAGACATGTGCAGACCTAATCCTTGTTTTTATGGAGAAGACAAAAGCTCTGTGAATAAAGCACAAATCAGACGGTATGGGATTTGGCCAGTCAGATGAGGACCTGCACTGGATTTGTCATCATCAACAGACATGACCATAATGTTCACGCTGATCTGATTTAGGATATTATTGTTTTGTCCATTTTTAACACTGTATCTCTGTTTACTTGGAGTAAACCAAGGCAAACACTGTAGCCTCAAACAATCCAATGTATGTATTGTTTACATAAGAACGAACACCTTCGACACACAAACTCTGTTTGCTGTTTCATCACGCATCAGAAAACTCAACCGTTACAAAGATGAAATAACAGAAATCATCAGGACGCCACATTCGGTTCATTTCTGAAAGCTGCTACTTCTCAAAGAACTGCTATTTGGATGGTTATTTGATTTTATGAGCTGGTTTTATAATCAGTGATGTGATTTATGCCAAAATGCAAAATCTGTTTATTTTAAACCACACGAGGAATTATTCAGTTTGGACCCCAAGCACAGTGACCACAGCAACCATCCCGTGGTGTTACAGCACCACCAAGTGAGCACACGCTGTTAGAAGTTGTTGATGTTTGAAGAAAGTTTAGTCTACAAAAAATAATTAGTTTAGACATGACTTCAATGGCTTTAATATTCTCATTACCAAAAGAAATCACAGTTGGAACGGTCAAACAGTTTTTTGGGGTTTGTTCTAGATATTTGGTGCATAAAACCTGAACACAGCTTCTGCATGGTTTGGTTTACATCAGTCTCCAGAGTTAGAACCAGACAACCAAAGAGGTGTTGGTGGTTCAATGGGCAGCAGAAGATCGGTGATGTATTTTGGACCCAGATCGTGCAGTGCTATGTAAACTAGCCACAAGATTTTAAGATCGATTCTCTGTAGGAAGTCAAAGCAAAGACTTCAGAACTGGACTGATATGATTAACTCTCTTATTCTTTGTGAGGACTGGAGCGGCAGCATTCTGGATCAGCTGCAGATGTGTTCATGTTTTTTTATTTAGGAAAGCCAGCAAATACTCTATTATAATAGTTACGTTAAGACGAATGCATGGATGAGTTCTTCTAAGTCTTGTTGAGACACCAGTACTTTGATTCTAGCTCAGTTTTTGTCCCCAGTTGCAGAGCAAAAAGGGGAAACTGAAATAGCCTTTGTTTGTTCGTCTGTCCATGCATGTTGCGTATATATACCGGTATATTTATACACTGTATATATATTTTTAAAATTCTACCTTTTATTTATACAGGTTAATCCCATTGAGCCTCGGGGACTCATTTACAAGCGAGACCTGATTTTAACAGAGTGATGACAACAGTGGACAACAAAGACAACAGTAGACTAAAGGATGCAAACAAACTGAGAATAACACGTGACAATAAAACGGTATTAAAAAAGTCAACAACAAAAAAACAGCTAGGTTGTAAGGCGATGACGAATACTAGAAACAGGAACATGTCTGCATTGGTTTTTCCCAGGAACTTAGCAGATGTGTGAAGCCACTTAGAGAGGTCAAGGTCGAGAGTTTCAGATCTTTTTGCAAGATATTCCAGGAAACAGGAGCGGAGCGGAAACCAGCCACCCCTTTTTGAAGAAAACAGGCTTTCTGCTTTTTACATTGCATAAAAGTATATTTTTCTCAAATGACTGGGGTGGTCGATGGTCAGGACTGGCCCAAGCCTCCATGGGGCCTTAAGCGAAATTTGGTTTGGGACCCTCTATTTCTGCTAATAATGTGATTTACTGCAATCAACAGTTAGATCAGATCATTCACCCACCTAGCATAAACTCATTGCAGCCCTGTTCACATTATCCTATGTGTATAGCAGGGGTGTCAAACTCATTTTCATTTTGGGTCACATCAGGCTCGTGAATGTCCTCAAAAGGCCAGACATGGCAGAGTGTATTGATACAACTACCTATTAAATTAGTAAAATATAACTTTCTCTGCATTTGATTACTACTTCTAAAAATTTAATATTTTATGTTTGAGTAATTTGGCATTATGATTTGATTTGACTGATAAAGCAATGTTGAGGCACACAAATGTTATCTTGAAGTTCTGTTTCTGTAGCCCTCTAGGGCAGGGTTATTCAACTAGAGGCCCGGGGGCCAAATCAGGCCCACGGGTGTGCTCAGTTCGGCCCACTAATGGGTCCATTTTTTAATAAAACTTGATTTTTAATTGTAAACCAGCCTTACTAAATGACAATAACTGCTGGATGTCCAGCCCCTGAGCTCTTGGGTTTCAGTAACTGTGCCCCCTTGAGCAATGCAGCTGAACAGCCCTGCTCTAGGGTGTAGAGAGCCACAGAAATGGTTATGGCGGGCCGGATTTGGCCCACGGGCCTTGAGTTTGACACATGCTATATTATAAAAAATAACATTATTAAAAAATATTATTGTTAAAAAAAAAAAAAACAACAACACAACTTCATAATGAAATGGTGTGTAATAGAATCCTAGAAATCATTACAAAAAAAAAAATCAAGTTCACTTATGGGGACCCCTTGTAGCCCCCGGGCCCTAAATTTGCTTATGCCTTGGTCCGGCCCTGTTGATGGTATGGCCGAAATTTAATCTGTTAATCTATGGTGGCCAAGGTCACCAATGGCAGCCCCCCGAGGCTTCCCTCAGGGGTCAATTTGAACTAAGGACAGCAGCAAGATTAAGAACTAGGATTAAAAATGTTAGCTCACATATTGTTTGAGCTATTTCTATATAACTACTCTAATGAGTAAATAGGACCTCTGGGGGCAGGGGTCAATTTGACCCAAGGGTAGCAGCAGGATTAAGAACCAGGATTTAATAAGTTATTTTAACGTTGGAACTATTTATGTATATTAGTGTGATGGCTATATAATAGCTGGTCATTTGTACATGAAATGACCCCTGACGCTCTCCTAGGGGTAATTTTTGACCCAAGGGCAGCAGGCGGGGTTCGAGAGAAGTGACTGGGCGGAAAACACAACCTGCACTGCGCCTTTAATCCGCTGTCCTCCTCCGTCTCTTCCCCGTTCCGCTGCTTTGTTTTCGTCGCTCCTTTAAAAAAAAAAAAAATTCGTTCGAGTCATGGCTGCTCATTCTACCGAAGAACCGTTTCCTTTCCACGGACTTCTGCCCAAGAAAGAAACCGGCGCTGCCTCCTACCTCACCAGGTTCCCGGAGTACGATGGGCGAGGGGTGCTCATCGCGATCCTCGACACCGGCGTGGATCCGGGGGCTCCCGGCATGCAGGTACGTCTGACCGGTTGCCTCGTGTTAGCTTCTACCGAGCGGCTAGCGCTACTAGCTAAGAAGCTAAAGGCCGACGTCATTTGTACTGTACTCACCGGCAGCAGTTAGCCAGTTAGCTAGCAAGCTACCCATGGAAAATAGCCAAAATTCCATTATAATGTTTATGACAGCCAAAATAACCCAAACCAGCCAGTCGCAAATGTTTTTATCTACTATCAAATAGTGTTTTAATGCCAAGCAAGCGGACTGTAACGTATTTAACGTTAAAGTTAGCACACATGCTAACTTGAAAGCTAATAGCTGAATTTGACCGCTTACGTTTCCAGTGTTTACACTTGTCAGTTGGTTAGAGTTACACACACGCGCTTCTAGCTGCTAAAACAACCTGTATTAACTTACCCCAAGTAGGTTATCAGGAAATTGAGCCTTTTTATATTTAACTGACCAATTATGTCAGTAAATCGTGGTGTCTAATTTAGCAAGAGAAGAAGTCATTTTTTGGGAGAAAAAAAAAATCGGGCATCCTTCCATTATGAGGACTTTAGGATAAAATCTAGTTTAATAGGAACATTGACTTAATTGTATTAACTGGTTGATGCATCCACAAATAAAGAAATTCTGATTACATAAAAATGGATAGAGCCAAAAATTAAATAAGTACTTGCACAGATTGGTATCCTGATGCATGCTCCATAATCAGTGAACTATCAGGTGAAAAGGAGGAACCCAGACCAGTGGTCATTCTGTATGTTGTGGGAGTTTCAGAGAAACTGAGATGTTTATTTTTTAAACGTGACACCCCAGTGACTTTCAACCCAAAATACATTACGGCAAAGACTGGTCCGTCCCAAAGATCCAGTCCCCCGGCACAAACAGTAATATTGTTGTTCAGTGTCAAGAGGGCTGTGATCAGTCATTCATCGGGGAAACTAAACAGCCACTGGCCAAAAAGGATGGCCCAGCACAGAA